GGCAACGTAACGTGTCCAAAAACTCAGCAGAAGCTCAAAAATTTAACTCTAACCCCTAACTATGTTCTGAGAAATCTGATAAGTCAATGGTGTACTAGGCATAACATTGAGCAGCAAAGTGGATTAGCAAACGGTAGGCTCAAAAAAAGCGATAGGTCTTTCCGTGATGTTAGTGGTGACATGGCAGCCATCCAGGCACTGGTCTCTAAGCTGTCAAGCCGGTGCTTAGAGGAGCGTAGAGCAGCTGTGGCTGAAATCCGATCACTGTCGAAAAGAAGCACTGACAACAGGATACTAATTGCAGATGCAGGAGTGGTACCAGTTCTGGTCAACCTCTTAACAGCAGATGATGTTTTATTACAAGAACATGCAGTAACTTCTATTCTTAACCTGTCCATATTTGAAAATAACAAGTCTCTTATAATGCTTGCCGGTGCAATTCCTTCCATTGTCCAAATTCTTCGAGCCGGAAGCATGGAAGCGAGAGAGAATGCGGCGGCCACCCTTTTTAGTTTGTCACTTGCAGATGAGAACAAAATAATAATTGGCACATCAGGGGCAATACCAGCTCTGGTGGATTTGTTACAACATGGAAGCACTCGAGGGAAGAAAGATGCTGCGACTGCTCTATTCAATCTATGCATTTATCAGGGCAACAAGGGCCGGGCCGTCAGAGCCGGAATTATAACAGCATTGTTGAAGATGCTCACGGATTCAAGAAACTGCATGGTTGATGAGGCTTTGACGATACTGTCGGTTCTTGCTAGCAACCATGATGCTAAGACAGCTATAGTAAAGGCTAGCACCATACCCGTCTTGATTGATCTTCTTCGAACAGGTTTACCCCGAAACAAAGAGAATGCAGCTGCCATTTTACTTTGTTTGTGCAAGAGAGATTCTGAGAATCTGGCCTGCTTAAGTAGGCTCGGTGCAGCGATACCGTTGACGGAGCTTACCAAGAGCGGGACCGAGAGGGCCAAGCGGAAGGCTACTTCGTTGTTGGAGCATCTTCGAAAATTACAGCAGCCGTGACCCTTTTGGTTGTTGCATCAGAGAGTTTGTTAATTGTTTTTCTATTGACTTTTAATTGTTTGACAAAACTGACATTCTATTCGTTTCAGACATGAGAATTGAGATAAGAGCATGAGGCACAAAGCCATTCTATTGCTCTTTCTGTGTATTCATTTCTTTTATTGATGAGTATGTAAAAAATTGATTTAATCTCAATAATTTTAACTTATGAATAATTTTTTTTAAGGATTTTGTCATTTTACGAGAAGCAATTTTTTTTAATAATGGAAAGTTTATTTCAATAATACTATATAAGAAAGAATAAATATATAAATAAATAATTCCAAAGAAAAATGATAGAAACAAGCAAATATTATTATAGCTGTCTAAAGGTAACTAATATCAACACTAACATAAAAATTACGGATAATCTATACGGATGATCCCTATATTTTTTTATCTTTCTGATTTTGATAATCGATTTAAAAAAGTAGTTTTGATAACTTATATTATCTATTCGTTCGATTTTGATTCCTCAATCGTTAATCTATTAACGAAAGTTTGAATTAACAATTAAAAAATAAAAAATAAATTTATATATCATCATACTTCTTATTGAAGTTAATATTTAATTTCAAATATTTACAATTTTTAATATAACATTTGAAAAATTCATATTCTATTATAAAATTATACATTCATTTCACTATTAAAATCCTTTTAATTAAAATAGTTTTCTAGAAGAAGTCTGTGCTGTGCACAATCTACGACGCCCCCATGTGCAATCTGAAATTGAATAATAGAGTGAATATTAGTATTATATTTTCGTGAAAAACGTATTTCAATATAGCAAGTAAAGTGACTTCCAAGTTGATGAGGCGACTGTCAATTTAGACCCTTTGGGTCATTCAATTCTATATACAGGCCAAAAGTTCATGTACGTCTACAACTTAGATTATTAATTCACTTATGTATTTCTAGAACTTCGATTATTACTTTCTTTCATGTAAAACAGGTCAAATCATTGACCATTCTTCTAAAAGTGTTACAAATGAAACATTTTTTAGAAATATCCTTAAATATCTAATTAAGTTTTTATTTTTTACGTATAAATTTTTTATTAAATTAAGTTATTTCATTGAATTTTAAAAACAAATATTTTTAAGCATTAAGACGATATGTAATTTTGCGTTTTAAAAGAAGTTTCATATTAGTAATTTTAAATCAAATTAAGTTAAAGAATACTTTTAAAATAATAAAGTGTGATTACAAGTTAATATTTATTGAGAATTTTTTTTAGTAATTGATAACGTTATACGAACCCTGAATATCTAGAAAAAATAATATCTTATTTTACTATCGATGTTGCTAATGAATTTTAAATTAAGATATATAAATTAAAGTATAAGGACAAAAATCGAATTAAATTAAATGTAATTTTTTTCAAGTTTTCAAAAATTATACTAATAACTAATTCAAATTAAATTTAATTGATTGATGTATTTAAATAAACAAATTCGTGATCATTTGACCCTTCCTAGTTAATTCCCCACAAGTTACGGGAATGTACTCTGAATTGTCTTAAACGATTCTCTGGTTGGCTAACGTGTACTTAAATTTATTTATAAACCCTTATACTTAAATAGTGTAATAAATTCTTAATTGGAAGTTGTCGTAACCGGTTTTCGTCCGGACACGAAATATTTATTACTTGGCGGAATAAATGATGTGAATAAATGGTTTTAAAAATAATTTGTGAGTCGCCATCGACCTTTTGGGTCAGGTAGGTCGAATACCTAAAAATTATCTTTTAACAGAGTTTTTAAGAAAAAATCAGTTAAAAGATGAGTTGATCTGCGTTTATAATCAAAAATTCTTTCTTTTTAATAATAAAAAGGGATTCGTGGTCGGTTACGTTTAGGGAAGGATTAGCACCCCTACAACGCCCAAAATTGGTACTTTTTAATTATAAATTGTCTCTATTATTAGAAATTTAAAAATTCAAAATATATTTAATTTATAATCTTATTATTTCAAAATTATATAAAATATATTTATTTATTTAAAAATATCAGAAAAGGACTTCTAGGTGCCTTAAGACAGCTCTTTTCTTTGATATTAATAAAATTAAATTTAAATAAAATTAAATAATAATTTTTAATAATATTTAATTTTAAAATACCAGAATAGGACATCCAGTTGTATTAAGACTGCCCTTTTCTTTGATATTGAAAAATATTAAAATAATTTATTGAAAAAAATATAAATTATTATTTATTATATATATTTATGACTATATAATAATAATAAAAATATTTAAATAAAACAATAAAAATACAATTAGAACGATATATTTAAAAGCAGTAAAATAAATGAAAACATTTAAAATTAGTGACTAAATTATAGTAAAATTAAAATTAAAAGCCTAATTCATAATTAATCAAAATTATAGGGATTAAACATGCTATTTTCTTATTTTATTAATTTAGTGACTAAAATAAAACTATATAAAATTCGGATATTAGATTAAAATAAATTAAAACATACTATTCAGATTAAAATATTAATTATTAAAATTATAGGACTAAATCTATTATTTACCCTATATATATTATTTTAATATAAAGGACTAAAACAAATAAAAATGAAATTAAAGAACCGAATTAAAAGGATTATAAACTCGATTTAGTGACTAAAATGTAAAAGTTACAAGTTATAATGGCTGCGGACGGGATTTAACAATTTAAATTTGCACAAATAGTCCTTCCCGAAACGACGTCGTTCGGGAAGGCCTATTTAAGGTCCAAAACGGCTGGCCCGAAGGGCCAGCCTTCATTTCTCTATTTCTCCTCTCTCTCTCTTCTTTGAGAGAGCAATTTCTCTCTCGCTTCTCTCTAAAACAGAGAGAAGCCAGACGGCCGGCAGCCGTCCGCCGGTGTTCTTCCGCCGCCAGCCATCGCCGCCGGCCACCGCCTTCGGTGGCCGGAAATTTTTTTTTTATACTAAAACATAGATCGGACCGTCCTAATGACGGTTCCGATGGCTTTTTCTTTTAAACGGCTCCCGATCGGAGCAAATCTAAGAAATATACCTTCGGTTTTTCAAAGGTTTTGGTGAGGTCCGGTGGTCGTGGCTTCCTCGGTAAGCTTCTCTTCTCTTCTTTTTTTTTTTCTTTTCTGTTTCTTTGCTGCGTTGTTGTTGACTGAGATCGTTGGTAGTTTTTTTAGTATCTTGTTTCTCTGTTTCTCTCTCGGTCTCCGTTCTTTCTTTGCAGGTTGGGTGATGGCTTTATAGCCATCACCGGTGCTCGTCTCAAACCGGTCCGAAAGGGGTTCTTCGGTGAGTCACCGGACTTCCAGTGGTGACTCACCATTTGGGAAAGACGTGTGCGGCTGGAGTGGTGGCGAGACTGAAGCAGCGCCGCGTGGTCTTCTGGAATCTACGGCGGCGCTGGGACGTGTCCCTAGGGTTTTGATACCCTAGGGTTTCCTCTGGCAAACTGTGGACCGTTGGATCAAACCAGATCCAACGGCTGAAACTGAGCGGCGGCAGCTGGATGATACAAACCCTAAATTAGGTTTAGGATTTACTGTAGGATTTTGGATCCGGACCACTGTTTGTAATTGAGCCTCCATTTTGGGCTTGTAATATTAAATAATATATATTAATAATAATAATAATAATTATAATTATAATAATAATAATTATAATAATAATAATAATATAAATAACATTAAAATAAAAAAAATGAATATCTTCAGAAGTCATATTGTAGGTATTTTTTAGACGTAAACTATATCAACCTTTTAATGATTACTTTTTATATTTTATTAAAAAATAATAATAAACTAAACAATATTATAGATTCGAGTTTTTAAAATAAAAAATAATAGTAAAATAGTTTTTAAAAAATATTTAATTCTCTGCTCTCTTTTGTTGACCAGTTATCCCTGAACTCTTTTAAACCCGACCAGACCAGTTCTGCACTTTTAACTCTTTTTTCAAATCCAAAATATTGATAAAAATGGGGAATTCACTAGCAGGGAAAAGCACGACCAAGATGATGAAAATAAACGGCGAAACATTCAAGCTGAAAACTCCGGTGAAAGCTGAGGATGTTATAAAACATCATCCGGGACATGTCATGTTAGAGTCCGAAGCCGTTAAGCATTTCGGCACTAGTGCGAAGCCATTGGAGCCGCATCAAAAGCTGGAGCCCAAGCGGATTTATTTCCTCGTCGCGTTGCCCGAAGCTCCGACCGAGAGAGTCCCGAGAAGGGTTCGGTCGGGTACTGTGAACATGAGCGCGAAAGACAGGCTCGAGAGCCTGATGTTGTCGAGGAGGTCTGTGTCGGATCTGACGATGATGAAAGGAGAGAGCGTGGTGGCCGAGGAGGGCGGTGGAAGTGGGGCGACGGCGATGAAGGTTAAATTGAGAGTGCCTAGGGCTGAAGTGGAGAGGTTGATGAAAGAGAGCGACAATGAAGGTCAAGTGGCTGAGAAAATCATGCAGCTTTGCATGGTTAATGCTGGAAGGAACAGCCCACGTGAAGGTGGGCTTTGGACACGTAGCCATGGGAGCACTGGAGAAGGTTTCAAGGCACGTGAGGTTAGATCCCTGTTATCAAGGCATCTTATTTATTCATCATTCAAATATTCTTTAAATATAATTATTATATCTCAATTCCATAATTATTTTAAATATCTTTTTATAGTATACTATATTTTTCAAAATTCAATAAATTTTGTTACAATAAAGTAGATAAATGGTCTTATAATTATAGAATATTGTTTTGTTGAGTCCTCGATTATAGGACGTTACTTTGTTAAGTTTATCGACTATTAAAAGTTACAAAATAATCAATTAATTATTTATTATTTTTCAAATTTATCATATTCTGTTAAAAAATTAATGATCGCCTAAGTTAGATATTAACATATTGATCTAAGATAGGATAGTTGTTTAAGATTATAAAATCAAAACTTATATATATATATATTCACAATCAGTTTATAAAAACAATTTAAAAATATGAAAAAGACTAAAAGTAGCTTCCAATTGTTAAGTTATTTTTAGTTTTACTAAATTTTAAAGTAGCCACTATAAATCATTTAATTTCCTTCTACTTCCTCCAAGAATAGTCTTGTTATACATAAGAAAATCTTTCAATAGACACTATATTTAGGTTCAATTCTCATACAAACCCAACCCCTCAACTTATATCTTATAAATATAACGAGGAGTATATAACTTTTACGTTTGGATATTTTTCAAAATTCTCATATTCTTATGTCCACGTGTCGTAATCGTATTACGGGTTCGTGCTTCCAATTTTTTACATTTTATTTCACAACTTGAACATAAGAAACCTAAAAAATAAAACTTTTTTTTTAATAAAACAAAGATGGACTTTTCCATTCTCTTTACTAGAAGGAAGAAAGTTAATTTGACTAAACTACATGGATTTGTTGACCACCACTTTGAACTTTTCTACACATGCATATGCATATAATTATCTTTTATTTAAATAAAAAAGGGTTTAAGTATATAATAATTTTGGATGTTTGATGATGCAGAAACGGGTGAGTTTCGTGGCAATGAATGGAGGAGGGACCCCACTAGCAGCGCCTTCCTAAGAGAAATTTAAAATTTAAAATGAAAATAACAGAGAGAATTCCAGATATCCAGTCTTAGCTCTCACCCTATATTATAATGGATAGTGGTGGGTTGTTTTTTGTGTACAGAACAGCAGATGTAAGGGGGGGGGGGGGTTGAGAAAGCCCAGGGATTGTAAACTTTGAGGGGCATGGTTATACGTGTTTGTCCCTCGATGATGATGCATCTCATTAACAAAATGCTGGTTTTAGGGTTTCTTTCTTTTGGGCTTTGTTGGTGCAACGAGCGTGAATGATAAGGTGCATTAACGTCCTCTTTGGTAATGATGGAAATGGTGCCGGATTAGTATTTCTTATCACCGTCTCTTTATTGTTGACATGTTCTATCCCGTCTTTTCTTCGGTCTTATTTTATCGTAAATGTTAGTAAGATTTAGATATTATTATATAAAATACAATTTACATCAATTATTAACTTCGTTACAAATAAATTATTATTTAATCATGTAATTAAAAATTATTATAAATAAACTATTAAGCTGCTAAAAATGAAATGAAAATTTTATATATTTTGATAAATTAATATTAATTCTTAAAATTTATATATTATATCAATTTTTTCCTAATTCAAAATGATTTAATAAATTTAATTATTCATATTTAAAATTTTCATTAATATAGTTATTTTTCTTAATGCAATTAAAACAAACAAGTTCATCAAATCAAAGGAATAGTTAAATAATTACATGGCACTATAAAACAAGCTACTGATAAAAATCTGCTAAAAATGAGTACTGGTTAATTATATGATTGGATTAGTTCATTTTTCAGCCTTACAAAATACATTTGTAAGAAAACTTACGGAAGGGATTAGTCGTAAATTATCCTCTAATTGTATGACGAAAAACAAATTCCAAAAAAAAAAAAAAAATCTTACCTATTTCCCTACCGGATGTCTTACACATAACAATAAACACGTCCCATTAATAAATTCATCATATCAAATATTATAAATAATTCAAGTAATATTAGAATAACAAATAATTTGAAAGAAGAATTAGGAGAAAACTTGAGCACATACACAAGAGAAAAGATATAAAGTATATACATTACACAAGAGCCCTGGATTCTTCCCTTTCTTTAGAGGTCACTAAAAGGAGTCCTCAAAAGGAAAACCATGTTCACCCTCCCTCTTCACAGTGTACATTTGTTTAGTTACAGGCCAATTCCAACCACAATGCAAAACAATTTGCCCAACGGAAAAACACGAAGATCCAATGGTACCCGACCGGAGAGGGAGAGAGCTCACTTCTCATGTTGCCAGGCATTACAATTTCTCATGCCCTTGTTAATGAACCAATGATTAAACCATGTCATGAACTCCATTGATCAGGAATGGTGAGAAAATAAGTAGTCATCGCCTTTCGGAATCTTTTCTTGTATTGTTTCGGCGAAACGATCGTTGGGGATGCATTCTTCGGGCCACCTAGTATCCCGGATGCCTTGACCCATGTCTCCAAGTGCTTGTCCCACGTATATTGTCGCATGAAATCAATAATTCCCAAAACCAGCTCTTTGCGCTCCTCGTCCACCCCAACAAGTAACGAATAGTCCATGACATCAACCGACTGAAATTCACAGATCATTAGATGATAATATTCTGAAGAATTTAAATACGGACTGATAAGAATTTGAAAGACGAGAAACCATATTTTTATAGTTACAATGGTAGAAGCAACTTACTGCCAGAAAAGATGTATCATTCCAAATAGCTCTCTCGAGATTTCTCTTCGCCTTGCTTCCGAGAAAAATGGGCTCTGTTCGCAGCGTTTCCAACAGATTCATATCTAGCAGTACTTTGTTTTCCCCTGTTGTATCCGGGTTATATCGTGATCTGATAGAACCCTTGAGATCATAAACCGTTGAGATACTTCTTCTGAAAAACAGGTTCTCCATCACCATAACATCCATTTTTGTTTCTTTGCCACCTTTCAGGTGTTTTACGGATACCTATCATCAAGCCAACCATAAAGAATTACAACTCGACTGGACGCACGAAAACAAATGGTTTTAAAAAGGTAAAACACGAGCACAAACCTGATAAATGCCAAGAACTTTTGCTAGGCAAGTAGGGCTTCCAGAAGTGAGAGACTCTGTCAAATACCTGAAGTATTCCGGAGCAAATTCATTAAACGATTCTAACTCCGTCTTTTGGACTTGTTTTATAATGAATCTCTCATCCAATGTTTTGGCAAAAAACACACTGGTCTTTCCCCCTTGTGCACTCCATTTTTTAGAGCGGCTCAAAGAACGCAGAAAATCCACTTCACTAGGGCAACATTTTCTCCTAAGAGAATCAAATTGTTTTGCAAAATAACAAGTCACCGAGAACTTCACTTTGCCGCCAGCAGCAGAAGAATCATCTCCAAAAGAAACCATTAAATGTCGAGACCTTTCCGTATCAGTATATGCAGTACTCACAGATGATGAAGCATCTTCGGAGCCAAAATTTCCATAACGAATATAGTCCAGATCGAGAGAACCAAATGACTGCCAGGGTGAAAAGCTGGAAGCAGAAGAATCTTCTTTGCTCTTGTCACTAAAACTCCAGGCTCCTCCAATTTCATTGGACTTATCGGTAACCCACTCATCATATTCTTTGGAACAGAGAGCATATGATATTATACTTGCAGGATCATTGTCATAAACAGCGATAACAATATCACCGTGACCCTTCTGCGAAAGAAGTAGCCGAGCCCCTTCAACCACATGAGATGCAGAGGTGATTAAAGTGGGAGCGGAACTGAGTAACAAATTCATCTTTTGTGCCTCCAGAGGCAATGTATGAGAGTAAGTCCTTGTTACATTAGAAACCGGATCTCTAATCATACTTGTGTAATCTCCAGAAGCATGGAAAGATCTAAGCATCGATAATTGTGTTGAAGATGGGTGCAATCCTTTCTGAATTCTTTCCTGGAATCTCATTGCAGAATCAAAAGAACAAAGTCTCCTAGGAGATGCTACCCTACTCAAATGAAGATTATTGATTTTACTTGTGCGCCTGATCAAAGAAGGTTGGAGCTCATCTTCTTGAAATGCTTCTGGAGGCTGAAGTACATCAGTACCTGTCCAAGCAGAATCTATTTGTGCAGATAACGCAGATGCAGGAGATGAGAGGCTTCCATCTAATTGTGTATCCTCCTCTATCTTCTGATTATACACTGCCAAGTCAGATTCTTTTGGCACAACAGATTCCAAGTTCGACAGAATAGGGTTCTTCCCCAACTGTATGGAATTCGTAGGAGACTCCTGTGAATCTGGGGATCTGTAAGCATTTTGTTCATTAGCACCAAGTTTCCCATCATTTGAATGATCCACTTCAGCTATGACAGCAGAACCTTTCTTAATAAGAGAGTCCAATGAATGAAGTTGCCGATCCCAAACATATAAACTGATTAGAAGTGAACGCCTTAGTCGATTCAACTCTAGGATGTCCAAGGCTGCTACACCCAGTTGTGAAGTCTCCATAACAACTGGTTGCAGCAAACCCTATAATAAACCCCCGCAAAAAAAACAAAAAAAAAGATCAACAATATTAAAATTATCAAATACATATTACCAAACAATATTCGAGGTCATATCAGTTAACTAATATTCAGTGTTCTTACATTGTAATTATTTATCTCCTTCCACATCTGTTCTCTCAATTCCATGATGTGATTCTGTAAATCGCTTGCATTTGATGATAGACAGCCAGCAGAATTGATCTTCTGTTCAATGCTGTCGAGTAAATCAGATACCTCCTCATACAACATTTCCATTTTGACCATCAACTACAAGGGACAGAATGGTCAATAATTTTGTAATAAAATGATTCTAACCGTATAAGAACCGGAGGGAAAATAGATGATAAACCTCGGCTGCCTCTTTTCTAATCCACTCCTGCTGAATGTTTCCACTAAATTCAAGTGTTGATGGGGGCACATGCACCGATAGAATATCTATTGGAGAATAGCGGAAGAAGGCAACCATGTTGCCAAACCTGTCAAATGATACTCATAACTACCAAAATCATCCTTCAAATGTCAAAAATGATTAAAGGTTTAACCGTTTAAGCATTTACCCATAGAAACGAAGGCAGTCCCTCTGCAATGAATGACCACATGTGGCAACACGATTAGCGGTCGCATGGTTTGAAAAGCTAAGCTCCAAAAACTTTCCAAAAGAAAGTCCCCAGGCAGCATCAGACATGACTACTCTACGAGTTGCTGGAGGAATCCCATTTATATGAACACACTTTAGGCACCGGTGCCACATCCATATCTTCCCATCCAGTTCACCAGGCAGCTTAAGAGAGGAAAGGCGTCTTACATTGATCATCAAATTTCCAAGCTGGTGGGTATAACAAATGACATGGGCTTCAGTTGGCTCATTACATGACCGGCAACATGATGCCTGCAACGAAAACCATTAAATTAAATAACTGATACATAGAAGAACCAGTTATTTCAGCTGAAGACAGCCAAAATCTGGAATGAATTACTTGATCAAACAGGTCATCACGAAGATATCTTCCCAGCGGTTTATCAAAAGAACCATAAAACTTTATTCGCAGGGGCCGAGCACGTTCACAAACTGTTCCTTTCAGTACGGATCGGCTTGAAAACGAAACCAATATACTCTGGTGAGTGTCAGAAGCTGAAAAGTATTCACTGGAAGTTTCATCATCATCAATCTTTTCAGATTTTACCAATTCTTGAATCTCACCAAGACGACCCTCCTCTTCAGCCATGGTTTCTTGCAATTCAGATTGTGAAAAATCTCTATTATCACAAGGTAACATAGTGAACAGCATTGAATCCTGGAATTGTTGCGAATACATGTTCAAACCTGCACTAGGGAATATATCATCATTGTATGAATCGAGAACAGAACCACCAGATGAAGGGAAAAAATGACTTTGATCACACTGCTCAGACAAAGATTCCATTCCTCCATGTGCTGGATTGAGACTCAGAGATATATCATTCTGTGGAGAAGCATCGATAATTGCATCAAAAGTGGATGAAGAATAGGAATTAGGAGCAACTGAAACACTACTGTCAGCCTCCATTTTCTTTGAAACAGAAACTGAAGGTTTTACTTTCATCTTAGGCAGAGTAGCGCCTTCATCAGCAAGAAAGGAAGTCTCAAGGGATAGGTGATAGGCAGCAAAAAGAGCATACTGGACAACATGTTTAACCTTCTTTAGTTCTTCACGAGATCTGCCCCTCAGCAGGACCTATAAAGAGAAATTGGGCATGAAGATCAGTCAATACATTCTTATACGATAGTTTGATGTGTTAATTTCATCGTACAAGCAAAAGTCTACAACTCTACTTGCCCTATGCTATTTTACCATTCACATGAGCAACCCAATTACTACCCTCAACAGCCTAAAATGATCTGAGCAAAAACATTGATCTGAGCAAACCAATTACATAAGATCTTTTTACACATTTCTCCTTCCACAATCTCAGCACTGAATATATAAATAGAACAGGTATCGTGTAATGTGGTACAACAACAAAAAAAACATATATAATTAAACCACTCAATTCCTGATAGTATCACAATGACATGTGCACACACAAATGGAGGGAAGGGCATAAAGCCAATTCTTAGAAAGAAGAAAAAAGTAAGATGAAGCATAGGACCATGGTATTGTTGCCCTAGAAAGGGAACAGAATCTAAAACAAAGAAGTTTAGAAAGACAACAACAAGAAGTGTTTGTGACACATGGTGAAGAAAAAGAAAAACAAATCGAAACAAAGGACATGCAGTAGAGTTTTACGACTGGATGGAACTAAAGCATCAAAATGCTCATAACTTAAACATGTGACACCCCGTGTACCTATCAGGTTTACAAAAGAAGAGGGAAGCTTGGTTCAAAATCCACAATTCAGATGATACAACAAACAAATTACATGCACCAATAAGTTACTGGTACTGCGGGAATTGCCTCTTTGAGTTCAAGTTTTGTTGGCAAGGGGTCCAGGGTTCAGTCCCTGTTTGTAATCCCTTCCCCCTCCCCCTTTATTATAATGTAAGCATCGACTGTAGCATAAGAATAAAATATGAAAATTACCGTGCAACACAAACGTCTTGGACAACCTTCAAAGAACATCAGTGTTTTTGATGGTTTCTTGTTGAACTGATTGGCCATCTCATGTTCTTCGGATACTTTTTCCAACCGGAACAGTTCACAGTGCCCCAATTGTGTAGTAGATAAATTATCGGTAGATGGACAAACAAGAGCTCCAGTGCACCTTGCTATACGCTCCAATAATGGACTTTTCACATTGAGCACTAATGAAATATCCTTTGCAAGTAGATACTCTTGGGCATATGAAGACGCACTCTTTTCTACCAGCAAAACATTGGGGCGAAGAGACTCAATTTTTTTAATGATCATCTTGAGATGATCATTTTCCTATTCAAAGGAATAATATTTAGAACACACATAAATGCAATTGCTTTAATGACATAAAAATCTTCTATTGACCCGCATAAAGGGGATAAGACTTTTGAACAAACCTGTTGAAGCAATGTGCTAAAAGATGCCAGCTGATTTGGAACTTTTAGAAATTCAAGGGCACCTCCTAAAAGAAGTAACCTTGGCTTTTTGTATTGTGAGGTCATTCTTTTGTGCTTTACATTTTTTGTACAGACTACTCCCTTGACAAGGGTGCTGCAAGAATGATGGAGTTCACAAGTTAAGAACCCATAAAATGAGAAACAAAATGGTTAAAAACAATAGAACATTTGAACTATAGAACAACAGAATAAAATAAAGGCAGACCCCACCTCTCACTGGGATTTCCTGATGCAATACACTTGACCTTCACATAATCCCCAGGATCCATGCTGCCTCCTCTGCTAGTATCTGGTTTCACAAAATTCGCAGCTTGCCATGCTATTGCTGTCACAATGTCAAGCCATCCCCCAGCATTGTCCTCAACTTTGATACCCTCACCCAGTAATAGTTGTGACACAAGAGCCCTAAAATGCCCCTGGATTACAGCTCTAATAGGTTCTTTGTTTCCCTCTTGTTTCTCCTTTGCTGGGAACATATTTGAAAGGCTACTACTTGATAAGAATATCGCACCAGAATCCCCAACATCATCATCTTCATCATCATATGAAAAGAAGTTGTTCTCTGCCTCATCATTCTCATCCTCAGCAGGTGGGGGATACCATATTAGGCCATTGTTTTCGAAATCTAATGGCTTTTGAATAATAGACGAATCATCAGAGTAATCATCGGTATTCTCTGGTTTCTCAATAGCTGTCTCTGGTAGCTTTCTTAAAACAGCCATGTTTTCTTGACCAAAGGGTCCAACATATTGAGCCATTGGGCTCCCTTCTTGCCTCTGCTGTACAAAATGCCCATCTCTATGAGGAATAAAACTGTTCCTAGAGGGGCTATCTGAAGGACTTGATCCCACAGATTTACAACTATAAAACTCATTTCTAGCACTGATACTACTAGAATCTATGTCCGAAACATCCTGACCATATTCAGTGGAAGGGCTAAGAAACTGCTTGCATGAATCATCAGCATCACTCCTACACCAATAAAATACACAGATAAAAATCAACTATATACACATATAACAAATTCATTACCGATTAAGAAAACTACCAACTTTAGGAGGTTTATGTTCTATATGCACGAGAAATAATGTTTCAGCATAATTCTGCTAAGTAAGTGAGTGTACCTGCTGGCAGATTGCTGAGTAGATACAGAAGGGGGATGGGTACTAAATAAGGTTATGCTCTTGCCAGTTACCGCTGGCAGAGGAAACCCACACTCACGAGCTTCAAGATATTGAGCAAGATGATCACTTCTAATGGATTCATTGTTCATAGAACAAGGGGATAGTAATTCCGGGCTCTCCCGGGGAAACTCAGAAGGGTGCATTTTCTCAGAAAACTTCCTTCCTTCACTTTCGAGCCTCGAGTTAACCCCATCACAGCACAACTTGCAAGATTTAACACTTATCGTCCTTGCAAAATCATCACCTTTTACATTATCTGATTGATTGGCATCATCAACAGCATGGGATTCATATCTTTCAACACATTTAGAACACAACAAACAACCACAACTTTGGCAAGGGTATCTATGAGAGAATTCATCAGCAAACTTCACATGACATTCGGAACAACACATTTTCTGCCAAGCACCGTTTTTTAGCATCCCAAATTCTTCACCGGCAAAACCAGAAAGATCTCTTGTTTCAAACGAAATCCAATACCTAGCTCCTTTTTGTATTAGATCTAATGGTGAACTATCAGGGACTCCCATAAGAATCCCAAACCCCCACAGTAATTCCTATCAACCTCTTCCCTCCTTTTTGTTTCTCTTCTTCTAAATCAGTATCAAAACATATACGAAACCCCACAAAAAAATGGTGAGTTTTAATTGATTTTTTTGTTAACTGTTTTCTGATGAGCTAAAAATTGATTTATTTTGACTCTCTTTTTCACTTTATTTTCTCAAAGATGTCAATTAAAAGTAAAACTGAATAAGAAAAAATTAAAAGCCCTCCCCGGAATCACAAAATATTTCTCCAATGAAGAAACTTAATCAATCTTACCACAAATTTTATACAACAGTATCAATAACAAGCACAACAAATTCCGCAACACAGAATTCAACAACATAAACCCAATAATTGAAAAAACACGCAGAAACTTTGACCCGATTGGTCCGAAATGAAAAATAACAGAAAACCCAGAAACAGCTAAAAATATTGAAAGCCTAACCAATCCCGGATTTATGCATCCATAGATCAACTCAAACACCATGGGTTTTAGTTTTTCAGAACGAATATAAAGAGACCCTGAAGTTGAAGGACTAGAAGAACAACTTCAGCAGTAAACTAAGGTAAGCAAAGCAAATTAAAGGAGAAGATTTGAAAGTAACAGAGAAGAGGAGGAAGAAGAAGAAGATTATATAGGAAACAAAATGAGGATCAAAAGAATAAAAAGGAGTGCAGAGAAGGCTCCTTTTCTACCGGAATCAGCACGCATTTCCATCGTCTCTTTTTTACTCTCCTCTCTCAACAACGACACTCTTCCTTTCCCTTTTCTGAAAATTATTATTATTTCCATTTCCTTCCCTTTTGTTAATTTACTATTATTATTATTTTATAACTTTCCGTCTCTACTTTCCTTCCCTCTCATTTGCTTTCTCTTTCCTCCCCATCTGTCAATACTATAATCTATCTCTTTCTTTCTTTCTTTTATTGTAACTACCCAAATATTTAGAGAATAGTATTTAATTGAAATTTGAGGTTAATTGTAAAATTTGGCAAAAATTTAAGGATTAAATTGAAAAATTTTAAAATTTGGATCTTATTTTAGAGTTAAAAAAAATTTAGGGATTAAGCCCTGAATTTACTCAAAAAAATTAAGTAAGTTTGGGTTATATATTATATACGTGTGGTTTCTGTTTCAAAAACAGAAAACCACACTCCCAAATTCCTTTCCCCTACGCCGGTTTTCGACTTAGATCCCGACGCCGTCCGAATTCCGATCGTCGTTTTGAAATCACCATCGTGTTCGTTATCGAGTCAGGAACAAATCTTTCAATTTAATTGAAGCGAAACGCTACCAAACGTCGGGAATTTACAGTCAAAGTCTCGACGTTTTTGTTAGCTCTATCGCCGGGAAAATCTTAAATTCACCGCCGATCGTTGCTCCGTTTACGACACCTCCTGCACCATCGTGTTCCTTGTGTCGTTGTGAGTCCGCTGGTGTCAACCTTGTTCGCTGTCGACGGCGGCGCGTGAGGAGGTGGAGCAGTCAAAGATTCGGCCGAGTAGAAATCGAGCTCTCCACCGTTCAAAAATTTTGAACCGATCTTTGTAAGTATCTCAAAATCGCTCAATATAATTTTTAGAAATTTTTCCGTAATTTTTAGATCCCCGGAGGAGGCCTCACGCGCCACACGCGCCGCCGCAGGGAAAGTGAGTGGCTGAAAACCGGTTTGACCGGTCAGAATCGGTCTGACCCGACTCGACCCGACCAACCCGACACGACCGTTGACCCGACCGTTGACCGTTGACCGTGACCGTTGACCTTCTTTGACCAAAACTTAAAATGACTTTAACCGACCATTAAACGACCGTTAATCATTTATGAGTATACCTATTCTGATAGTTTTCGACGTCCCGAATCCGTTTCCAAAGTCTGTTTTATCAAATTCGAACCCAAAGGCCTCCAAATCGACGGTCAAAGTGGTTGACTTTGACTTTGACCAAGAATTTAAATTTTCGAAAAGTTATACTTTATGTTTTTCGACGTCCTGATTCCGATTCCGCAATCCGTTTGACCAAATTCAGACTCAAAATCCTCCAAATTGATAGTTAAACCCTGAAAATACTTATATACTTAAGAATTTTAGCTTTGAACAATTAAGTAAGATTTGGGGCTGATAAATTATTATTATTTGAAGGTATAAGAGACTTTCCGGATCGTTCGACAGCTCGACCCAACTCTTCTAGATCAGTTAAACCACGTTCGAAAACTATAGCAGAGCGTGGTGAAACCAGCAATCAGTAAATCTACTATTTGAACCTATTATCGAGGTGTGTTCCCTAATTATTACTGAATTGTTTTATTGGTTTTAATATGAGGTACACTGAGTTCTTTGGTTACTATTTTATTGATGCACCAATTTAATGTGATGATTTATGGAATTTGTGTCACAGTGCAATTGAACTTTTGGATTGAATTACAATAGTATACCTCTGATCAAGCTAATAAACAGAATGAGCCTAATGTGACTCTTGGGGCCCCAAGATACATTAGGTTTACTTCCCTTGCTGTGTGCTTAGGGTAAGCTATATGGACTTGGACTTACGGGCCTAAGGATACAAGATCTAAAGCTTATCCTTAGGTTGACTTTCTTTTTGTTGTGTGCTTAGAGTAAGCTATATGGAAAATAGTTTTGGAAATTACTGATGGTGTACAAGAAAAGAGTTTAAACTATGATTTTCAAATGCTAAACTCTTTTATGAATTTATGAGATTTACTGGACTATGATTTGTTTATTGTACCTATTGTGATTTTATGGTAATGTGGGACACACTGAGCCTAGCTCACTTTTCGAAAATGTTTTTCCCCCTTTCAGATACTGTTGGTTAGATACCCCGGATTGAGCACTTGGAGGATCAACATATCTCTTGAAGTATATATGATTGTAATGTTTTTATCTTTCAGGTTGACTTTATTTTGGTGACATGGACCTTATTTTAAAGTATTGGATTTTATAGTGATTACACTTTTGCTATTAATATCCGGTTTATCGTGATTATGATTTTTAAGACATGTTTTAAATTAATTTATTACTTATTGGTATTATATTTACAAGTTGGGTTTTGATAGTATAATTTATTTCATGATATTTATAATGTGATTTTACATTGATTGAATAACGGTTTCAGAAAATGTCTTTAAGAATCATGTATGTGATCCACTAGACTTAGTCGAAACGCATAGGCCGGGTCTAGGGGGTTACATTTATTGGTATCAGAGCTTTTGGTTTTTAACCCTCGGACTGTGTATGAGTCCACATCGAAAATACGGTTTTAAAAATATTTTACAAAACAAGTTACTAAGGCCATGTCACAAGTTATTAAGATTTTAACTGTGTTCGAGACTCCAAGTGCTTGTCTAACCCTAAGTTTTATCTCCTGTAGTAAACTCGAGATCCACAAAAAAAAAATGAGTGCTAGACGTGGTCGTCGAACTAGTCGTGGACGAGGTCGAGTTGTTAGATTTGTAGACCCGATCGATGAGATACGAGTAGATCCCCCACCTATGATAGGTGATCCTGCTCCTACGACCCCAACGAATCTGCCTCCTGCCGCTGGTATTGGCATGACTACACCGATCATAGGAGCGACCGATATTGAGTCAGAGTCTACCGGAGTTGCTTTGGATGAGAATTTTGGTAGACAATTTTTGCAGTTGATACAGGGAGCAGTCAGAGCTACTGGTGTTGTATCAGAGGTTCCTATTTCGCAGACTTTGATTGCCAATGGAGTTAGAACTTTTGGGGGACAGATTGGTGGAGCTCCTACTGAAGCTGAGGATTGGCTCCAGGATACAGAGAGACGCATGGATCAGTTGGGTTTAGACTCAACTAAGAGATATCATGATGTTGTGGCGATGTTAGATGGCAATGCCTACACTTGGTGGGAGTCAGTGACCAGTAGTGTTCCTACCGATCGTTTGACCTGGAATTTCTTTAAGGATCGCTTTCGGAGTCGTTTTCTGGGATAGCGCTACTTAGCTCAGAGACGTCAGCAGTTTTAAGACCTGGTTCAAGGAGACATGACTGTTTCTGAGTATGAGATCGAGTTCTTGAAGTTGCTGAAGTATAGATTCAGTATGGTACCCACTGAGAGAGATCGATGTCGTAAATTTGCCCTTGGACTCAGATACGAGCTGCGTAGGCAAGTTGTAACCTATCAGGATGAGATATTTGATGTGCTGGTGGGCAGAGCCAAAGATGCTGAAGAGGTGGAGGTTTTAGCTTCTGGTAGAGAGCGTGTTGAACAGGAACGATCTAAGAAATTTTCAGGCCCGATGGAGTCATCAGCACAGTCCGAAAAAAGGACTCGTACTTCAGTCCCTCAAAGAAGCAATACACGTTTCAGGCCTGCAGCATCCTCACCGTTAGTTGGCAGTCGAGGCGGTTCCTCGTCGTATTATCATGGGTTCCTCTGTGAGTTTTGTGGTAAACAACACACAGGAGAGTGTCGTAAGAAGATGGGTCTTTGCTATCAGTGTGGATCTAGTGGTCATTTTCGGAGGGATTGTCCTTAGCTAGCTTTGTTTGAGCAGACCGCTACCCAGACTCCTGTGCATTCTCAGACTACAATACAGACCCCAATTAGAGATTGTAATCAAGGAAAGACTCGAGGATCAGCATCCAGGACAAACAGTAGAGCCCGACCTCAACAAAATAGAGGGCCAACAGTTTCTGAGGCTAGACAACCAGCTTTGGTTTATGCCACTAGACGTCGGGATGACAGAGATGAGCCTGAGGTTATTGCAGGTACATTTACTATATATTACATTCCATACTTTGCATTACTGGACAATGGCTCCACTCACTCCTATGTATCGAGCTCGGTATCTCAAAACCTTCAGATTCCGATCAAGAACACTGAAAATAATGTTACGGCTATGAGTCCAGTAGGACAGGCGATATTAGTGAATAAAGTATTTCGGCGTTGTCCTTTAGAGGTTAAGGGAGAAATTTTTCTCGCTGATCTTATGGAGCTTCCTTTAGAGGAGTTTGATCTAATTCTTGGGATGGATTGGTTGACTAAGCACAAGGTAAAGCTGGATTGCGAGTACAAGAGAGCTACTCTGAAAACTTCTGATGGTCGGACTGTTGTGTTAAATGGTGAACGTCGCGGCTATCTCTCCAATATAGTTTCAGCGATGGAAATTGATCGTATGATCCGGAATGGATATGAGACTTTCATTGCTTGTATTTTGAACACCAAAGGTGCATTGTCCACGATCGAGGAGATTCGTACAGTTAGCGAGTTTCCTGATGTTTTTCCGGAGGAGTTGCCTGGGTTACCTCCTGATAGAGAGGTAGAGTTCGAGATTGAGACTTATCCGGGATCTGCACCTATTTCTATGGCACCTTATCGCATGGCTCCAAAAGAACTTAAGGAGTTGAAGGTCTAATTGTAAGAATTATTCGATCGAGGATTTATTCGGCATAGTACTTCACCATGGGGAGCTCCAGTTCTGCTCGTGAAAAAGAAGGATGGGTCGCTAAGATTATGTATTGACTATTGGAAGTTGAACCAGATGACGGTCAAGAATAAATATCCACTACCTAGGATTGATGACTTATTTGATCAGTTACGAGGAGCTACTGTATTCTTTAAGATTGATCTTCGTTCGGGGTATTATCAATTGAAAGTTAAAGGATCTGATGTTGCAAAGACGGACATTCGCACTAGATATGGTCATTATGAATTCTTAGTGATGCCTTTTGGTTTGACGAATGCTCCTGCAGCTTTCA